GCATTACACATATTTACACCAATTATCTTAGCAGTTGACGCGCCCAGAAATATTAGACAATCAATCAATGCTTCAGCTACACCCGACAATGCTCACCTTTATGGAAGGAGGTAACTTCGGCTCGTGCCACGCGTCTCGAATCCTGTTGTGGGACACGTCCAGCGCCTCGATGCTCGGACTGATGTGCTTCGCTCGGGGCAACGTGTCCAGGAAGTTCCAACTCAGTACGACCTCCCTCACGCTCTCGGCCAGGCCCTGAGGGAGGTGGGTCAGGTTGTTGTGGGAGAGGTCGATAGTCGACACGTCTCCTTCACACACCATGTCCGCTTCCTCAAAGGACGTTTTCTCGCGGTGCACGCAGTTTAGTGTCGTGTTCTGGCACACGCATGGGCCAGGGCTCTTCCAGGCGCACGCCGAAACGATGCACATCACCACGAACACTAATTCATTTCTGTACGACATACCTATTGGCACGAATAGTTACGCATCAAACAATGCTGATGATTTTAGTATCTTCGGCTGTATAGTAATTATAAAATTTGTTGACGTAGCCAAAAATTTGCAAAAGTATCCTTTGATGGGAATTGAAAAAGAAGACGTCATATAGCTGAATCTGGACTGCACGAAAGTGAACAAGGTGACAGGATGTTGAGTCATGATACATCCGAAACCGTTTACCCACTAATTTCCTGTCAGGGATCTAACAAGCTCGGTTTTGTGGCATTTATCCTTGGTGTAGTCTTATGCTGGTGCGCTCGTTCTGATGTTCATCGTTACTGTTCTGAGTTACAGTGTATGTATACTCGTAAGTGTGTAATCCATAATATTAAGTGTGGTAAATTAAATTTCTAGTTTGGAGAACTTAATGAGTTATTGCTTTTGATAACGTATGTAAGAAATAAATTAGCTTTTTAACTTATATGTAGCTTAACTCTGATTCCATTTTATGATCGACATCGCATTCCGAATATAGTCACTTAAATAATTTCTCATATATTATGAGTACATCGTTTAAATTTTCCAAAAAATAAATTAAATTTTCAGAAATATGGGTTCATTATTTTTAATTAAATTTTGTTGGATAATGTATAACATTTGTATAAAATTTCAAAAATTCACTTTTTTGGCTTCTTACTACTAAAATATTGAAGATAGAGATATTTCCCCTTCATGAAATATTTTCCTTCAATAGAATTTGAAATAAGGTCATGTCATAAGGTCAACAATTTTTCAAAAATTTGAATATTTTTGGCGCAATTTTGCATAAAATGTAAGAAATTTTTAATTTTTGTTTAAACATTTTTTTCTCAACAACGGCTCCATTGTTTTTCATGAAATTTTGTTAGTCTAAAGAATGTTTAAGATAATGGTTTAGGTCTCATTTTGGTTAATAACGTTAATTTTTCAAAAGTTGAACAAAATTGAAACTTTTTGCGTCGTCTTCAAACAACTACAATTATGAAGATACACTTTTTCTTAATGAAATGAGTTCATCAAAAACAGATCTTTAAATAACGTCATGTTAAACTTTGAAAAAAAATAGTATTTTTGAGTAACTTGGCGTCAAACATTGACGCCCGCTCCTTATTTCATGCACTTCGTGAACGCAATTTTCGAGTGTGTTAAAGCAGTTGGATGCTACGTAAGTTAGAATGTGTATATTATTTTATATTTCTTTGAACGTGTCTTTTTCGAGATTTTGTTATAAGAGGTAAAATTAATTTTAAATAAAAGAAAGTATTTAAAAACAATTTTAAATTACTTCCTTTGAGTTAAATATTCAAAGGAATAGATGATTTCTCTTTGCTCAGTAAGATGGAATAAAAAGTGATGCATATTAAAAATGAGTGATTTTAATGAATATAAAAATATATATTTTATTTTTTAAATTTATTTTCATTTGATTGCTTGTGATATCAACAATGCTACTTGGAAAAATGTGATTTTCCCGTTAATATAAACGAATAATTTTATTTACGCCTACAATACCTATCGCCCACCGTTGGTTCATTTATGTACGTCAATACACGGAGTCAATTCAATGGCTGAAAGCTGTTTTCGTTTAAGCATTTGAATGTAAAAAATTTACGTATTTTTCATTGCTAGAATTATGTCAAATGATAGTTGAAGTGTAAGACGAGTGAAGGAATTGTCATATTATAATATTACATTGAAATTTACAATATCGCGAGAAAGTACGTGCTGATGTAGCACCACTAGTTCTGATTTGGTATCTGGTATGCAATTTCAAATTAACTTCTCCTCATAGCTTGTCACACACAGTTTTTAACTGTTTTTTACGCAAATTAAGAAATAAAAACTAGTTCTGATTCTAAGTTAAGCAACATTTCACCTTAACACTTTCTACCTTCTTACGTAGGAAGGAGAAAATATTCAAAGTGTAAATCGAGAAGAGGCAATTTCTCAAAGGAAACCTCGTATTGTGAGTCGTTCATATCGAGAACCTGAATTTATCTCATTTCTATACGTATTGAATATTATGAAATATAAATTACATTTTGTAGTACTTTGTGTATTTATCATCCAAGTTTTGTGGGTCCGGGATACGGTGAGTCCATAAAAAATTATTTACGGTGAAAAATCTGTTCGTCTATGGGAAACACTAGAGGCTAAACGGTTCATACGATTTCTCCAAAATCGACGCCTGTTTGTTCGTCCGTCATTCCGTCTGTCTGTGAACAACGCTAGTGGCTAAACCGTTCAGCTTATTTTTCTAGTGCCCCGTTACGCCCTGAGGAAGGTCACAGAATGGGGACCGAAACGTTGGCACCTTTGCTATGGACGCGGCGTCACCCGGACAGCTAATTACATGCTGACTCCGGCTGCGTAAGACTACGCTCTCGTCTGTCTATCTGTCCGTCCGTCCGTGTGTGAACCGTGTGTGTCCGTCCGTCCGTGTGTTAGCTAGCGGCTAAACCGTTCAACCGATTTTTTCCTAAATGTTTATTCTACAATCAATCTGTCTGGTGTCAGGGCCCCTTGAATTTAAAACCGATATTTTAATTTTGGGGGCAAGTGGGGTACATTACATGTAACTCCTGGTATATTTTCCAATTTTTCCAAAAATTACTTCATACTTTTTTATTAGATTTTATGTTGGATACAGTGAAGAACATTTAAGAGAATGTTGAAGGTCTCATTTTCGTTGAAAACATTGTATTTTCGAAAGTTGCAAATATTCGGCGTCATCCTACAAATAGAATTATAAAGATAGATATTTTCCCTTAATGAAGTTAGTTTCTTAAAGATAGTTTTCAAAATAACATCACGTACAATATTTTTTTCGAAAATTTCAGCACTTTTCGCGCAATAAACATGAAAATACGGGTGACAAAGAACGTTTTCTTTTAGCACTACTAGTTTTGTCAAACGCCTGACATGTCTAAGAGACTGATATTGTTGAGGTAATGTGAAAGGCGCGCTAAATCTGGGAACCCAAATTCGAATCCGAGCGTGGAAAAAATTAATGATTTGAAACTTTTCAGGTAGTACAATAATATTGCGTATACGTTAAAAATAATGTGAGAACTTATGTGCTGTTAAGTACCGCTAGTTTACATTTCCATTTGATTGATTCTTTTCTTTCAATGACGCATCGTTAGATTTAGCCTGACAGTCACTAGTGGAGACCATAGTGCTAGTCTCGCAGTAGGGAACTTTGTTGATCATGGATAAGTCGCGCTAAAGCCTTACTATTTTTTAATAATTATGTTTGTTATATGATGACTTTTTTTAGTTTGTAGACATCTAATACTGTAAAACGTTTTTTTTTCAATTTCAATATAGTTGTGGATTTATTATGAGTAAAATTGTCTTTACGATACATAATTTTATATAGACTTCGAAATTGTAAGTAGGTCAATCCCCAATTTGATGTCAAGCTTAAAATTGAAACCGGGTGAGAAGTTCGGACACGTGCTTGTAAAAATACATAATGAATACAAATCGTTTTGATTTACAATGAGGAGATTCCCTTCAGGAAATTACGGTTCACAGACCATCCGTAACAGTTGCGTAAGTGGGACGTGTCCTACCTCGCTAGCAGGACGAATATGTTCCACATCACTGTTCATTTACTACGAATATCCTTTCCAAATTACATATAGATGGTACTTTCAGAACGTACAAATATTCTGTGGAGACAATAATAAAGAGTCTAGAATCTCGAGAAAACCCTTAATACACGTTTTATTGCCTTGTATAATAATTATCGTGATAGAAATGCATGGATGTGCGTGGCGAGCATTGTAATTAGTGTTTGCAAATTACCTGATCAATTGGGCGTGTCTTATTTGGGCCATACGACACATAAATAAGTCACAACTTGCAATAAAGAGAATTAACCTTGAGTTCAACGGCTGTAACTTGTGCGCCATCTTCTCAGTTAGTTGTCTAAAGCGCTTCAGATCAGTAAGAGCAATGCGGCGCTGCAGGACTTTGAATATAGGATTCAAAATAATTTGTGTAAATATAGATCAACACCAAAAAATTTAGGCCCCAGCCCTTTATCGACTTTCACATGTAGCCCAGAGACTCCACTGCTTTCTTTCCGGGTTTGAGAGAAGCTACTGTGTTGCGCCATGCGTGTCACTAAATTAGGGGTTCATTTATCGTATTAACTACATCTATGTTGCTTGCTTCAGCCTTAGGATCTATATCAGGGTGCGCGACATTCGAACAATGGAGTAATCCAGTGGCCGAGATCGTTAAGGCCATAGCGTTCTCGGACCGATGAATCGCGTGTTCGAGTCCCTTCTCCGGCATTGTTTTATTTGTGTTCGTCCTTTCACCTCTACAATCACTATATCGTGTCATCTTTACAATTACCAAATCGTTAACTACAACAGTGATTGCTAATAACTTAGATGTTGATGCGATCTTAAATAACCAAAAAAAGGAGGGGGTGGGGAAAAAAAGAAGAGTATTTCAGTGATCATAGGGAAACCAGACGGTTCCCAGTTGTTTATTCCAGCGAGCCTTTACGTGGCGTGTTTGCTCGCCCATCCGCTGCGCGCCGCTTCCATCCAGTCCCTGGGCGCGGAGGCGTTGGCGTCCGGGTGGCCGGAGCACGGCAGGTCCAAGCAGAAGTCCACGCTGGCCAACCCCTGCCGCAGCACCCCGCACGAGCAGAGAGTGATGCCCGAAATTCTGTGCAGAGCAAAGAACCCCGAAGGTGAAGTGGGCGCAGATGCTTTGCTTCGAAATTTCAAAACATTTATTCATTTGTTCATTCATTCATTCGTGTATAAAGTGCGTATTGGATGCATCAACGCATTGAGTATATTCATTAAATTGCATGTATTCATTATATGTGCTGCTCTACAGTTCGGCCATACTACTCCCTTCTGAGGTCAGGGCAACAGCGCTTGGGGAAATCACGGAAGTTAAGCAACTCGAGACACAATTTCTGGATGGGTGACCGTCCGGGAACACCGGTTACTAAAGAACCACGAAGAAATAAAAGGCGATGATTGACTGCGACGATACGAGACAAAAGACAAAACGGAGGAGTACTCCAAATATACATGAACGCTCAATGTCAAAAGCGAAATTCAGCTGCTATCTGAATGTGTATTCTAACGGCCAGCTGTTCTGATCGGTAGTTCCCCGTGGTTTCACTGATCAACACTTGGTGAATACCGGTGTACTTCCCTAACAAACGGGAGAAGGACTGCGCTCACTACTTCCTCTTTGTTGTGTTACCTTCATTCCTTACTTACACATTCTTACACTCACATGCACCACACTACCACACATGTCGGGAGACACTTGGAATCTTAGAGCTTGTTCCGGCTGAGGTGGTGCCTGGCTGGTGGGAGAAACCTTTTGGGGGAAATTGGTCAAGAGAACGTGTGGCTCGGCGCCGGATCTTACTATTCAGCGGGGGGAAATGATCGGCGCTACAACTCCCGTGATAAATACATGCACTACACATACAGGACTAACGACGTAAATAGTTGACACACACGGAATCACTAACACCGGGTCGATAATATTTTCTTCACATGACATCTGATTTGTGTATCTAGTGCATTTTTTATACTGAATTCAGATATGTATTCAGAATCTTCCATAAGGCTTAGTTTTTTTGAGACAGCTACTTTTTAAAATCTGATTTTAGCATTCTCTGTGATGGAACATTTACCTTATATGTAGCGATTTTTTCAAGCTGTATTTAAAGACATATGTAATATCGTGTTGAAGCTCCAATAGGCAACACTTTGCAAGTTCATTCATGTTTTGGCATGCTCAGACCTTTATTGGGAGTAATTGAATTTTTTAAAAGCAGATGGATTCTTGTAATTAAAATAAAAATTTCCAAAACGTCAGTGATTCTGAATTGAAAGAAGGGTTTTTTGTAGGACCTCAATTTGGGCCACTACTGTCTGATAAACATTTTGAAGGAATGTTAAATCCACTAAAAACGAGGCATGGCAGTCTTTCAAAACCATATGTTGCAATTTCCTTGGAAACCATATGGCAGAAAACTATCGTGACATAGCGGCTGATCGTCTCATTTCTTATAAAGCTATGGGATATAAAATATCTTTGAAAATTAACCTCTTGGACTCTCTCTTAGGGCTTCTTCCCGGATATTGTTGGTACTGTCAGCGATTTGCATTGTAAGCGTTTTCATCATTAAATTTCTACAATGGAAAACAGGTACCAAGCAAGTGGAGTTCTGATATTCGGCCTACGACTGTTGAACCAAGTAGAGAGATATTCCAGAAACGAAATAGGACCGAAAATCACTATCAACCACTTTCTAGGCTAGTGAGAACAAATGGTAATCCATTTGGAGTTAGGTAGCTAGTTACTGATTTTATAAAAAAAATATAAAAAATTCAAATGAATATCACACACAACTCCTGCGTAATGGAGACAAAATGAAACAGTATTTGAACTCAGAATGAAATATACTTCTAGAAACGTGTTCTTGTAAAAGACAAAAAGTTTATTTTTGTATATTGATTTTATATAAAAAAAATTTAAAAAATTCGAATGAATATCAAACAAAACTCCTGTGTGCTGGAGAAAAATTGAAACAGTATTTAAATTCAGAATGCAAAATTCTTCTAGAAACTTGTTTTCATTCTTGTGAAATACAAAAATTTTATTTTTGTATACTGATTTTATAAAAAAATCAATTTAATATCACACAAAACTCCTGTGAGATGGGTAAAAACTGAAACTGTATTTGAATTCAGAATGAAAAATACTTCTAGAAACTTGTTTTCATTCTTGTGAAAGACAAAAAGTTTATATTTGTATACTGATATTATAAAAAAAATATAAAAAAATCAAATGAATCTCCACAAATCTCCAGCGGGATGGAGAAAAAATGAAACAGTATTTAAATTTAGAATGAAAAATATTTTCAGAAACTTCTTTTATTCTTGTGAAAGACAAAGTATTTATTTTTGTAGACTGATTTTCTAAAAAAAATATCAAAAAATCAAATGAATATCACACAAAACGTCTGTGTGCTGGAGAAAAAATGAAAGAGTATTTGAATTCAGAATGCAATTTTTTTTCTAGAAACTATTCTTTTGAAAGACAAAATGTTTGTTGGTATAATCAACCAATCAATGCCCTAAAGTGGCTGAAGTAGACGGGAGGGTTCGGCACCTGAGGACGGAGGCGTCGACGGCCGGCTGGTCTAGCGCCCAGCGGAAGGCGGCCGCGCGCGCCAGGCGGTTCCTGCTGAGGTCCAGGTGGCGCGGGCGGCTGGCGCGGGGCTCCAGCCACGAGCGCAGCGCCGCCTCGCTCGCCTCCGCGATGGCGTTGCCCGCGAGGCAGGCCCGCTCCAGGCGCGGCCACGCGTGCTCGTTGTTACTGAGCCTGCCGCCGCAGCCGGTTGCTGTGTGAGGTAGAGCTACGCGCGCCGCGCAGTCGCCCAGGCGACGCCGCGCACTCGACGAGGCGGTGTGGTCCAGGAAGAGGCTCTGCAGGGGAAGCAGCCCTGCGCACAGCATCTTGCTACTCAGTTAATCCAATGTAACAGGGAGGTCTGTTGTGAAACCGATGCAACGCGACCAGTGTTGTTTGTAGTTCAGAAAAGAATGGAAGTCATCCGTGTCATAGAATCGCGGTAGGTCTAATACTCAGTTAATACATGTAACAGGTGGTCTCATTGTGAACCTTAGCAACGTGACAGTGTTTTGTGTCCAGGAAGAGGCTACTGAGGGAAATAACAGTCCTGTGCACAACGTCGCGTTAGAAGGTCAAATACTCAGTAAATCCAATGTAACAGGTCGTCTATTGTGAAAGGTATTCAACGTCACAGTGTTTTTTGTGTTCCAAGGAGAGGCACTGCAGGGAAGTCAGCATCGCGGTAGGTCCAATAATCAGTAAATCATGCAAAAATGCAATGTAACAGATACTCTATTGTGAAACGGATGCAACGTGACAGAGTTGTTTGTTTTCCGAGAAAAAGTTCAAGGAACTCCATCCTGTTCACAGCAAGGTGTATAGTATTAGGTCGTTATGTTTACAGGCAGAAGGTCTACTTAGTAGATCCAGAGTAACAGGAGGTCTATAGCGAAACGGATATAATGTGACGGTTGTGGTCCAAGAACGGGCTCTTGTAGGAACTGAGTTCTGCACACAGCATTGTGTATGGTATCAGGTCAGGTTGTGATTACGGACACAAGGTCGAATACTCAGTATATCCAATGTAACAGGAGAGATATCTGAATCGGATATAATGTGAAAGTTGATTGTGGTCCAAGAACAGGCTCTTCAAAGAAATCAGTCCTGTTAGCTGAAAGTCGTATTGCATCAGGCCGTCAAGTGTACGGTCAGAAGGGTTAATACCGATTAGGTTCAATGTAACAGAACGGACTGCATTTAACTGAATAGATCGTATTATAGAATATTATTATCAAACAGTTAGGATTTTGGGGGAACATGACAAAAGCTGCCGGAATTTACGACCACAGCAGGAGTACTGTGAGTACATTCCACCGACGGCATCCGGGCGGAAGAGAGCTTTAAGACCAAAGTAGAAGATACTTTCGTAAGCTTATGAACATTTATACAAAAGTATTTAATGAGTTCAAACACTAAAAAATGTAAGTCAGCAGAATAAATGTTAATTGTTTATTATCAAACAATGTGAAAAGGCTGATAGTTTGTAGAAGTTGTCATCAAATTTTTAATAACCAATTAATACAGCAGAACTTCCAGGAATTGCGTCTCTGTACAGAGTCGCACGAACACATATAATAGTAAAATAAGAAAGTAAAGTATTATACGTCGAACGAATGTTTGTAAAGTCAATGCAATATTTAAAATAAAATTAATTAATATTATAATAATTATAGTATTAACCGGGCAACCTAAATAATTAATTTTAAAAAATCGTAAACCATCACAAATGGTTACCCAACCTGGTGCAGAATAAAATAAAAAAATATTTAGTGGAAGTTAATTAGTTAAATAGATAAATCATCATATATACTTAATCCAATTCCTAAAGAAATAAAGAAAGTGGTTAATTGCTCACCTGCAAAGACTTCTTTGCCGATTTCTGTCAAGTTGTTGCTGCCAGCAATTAAGCACTCCAGTGCTGGAACGAGTTTGAAGGCTCCGTCGCTCAGCTTTTGTAGGTCGTTATTCCGTATATCGAGCGTCTGGAGGTTTCCAAGTCCGGCGAGAGCTGCACCAGAGAGCTCTGTCAGCTGGTTGGAGTCGAGCCGCAGCTCTTTCAGGGCAGTGAGCCCCTCAAAAGCCCCTGCGAAAACGCAATAACTGCTAGTGAGTACACCTCGGTGACTGTGATTCACAAAATAACGAGGAATATATCAATACATAAACATAAAATATAAATAACAACTTATTAGTAAGCATATCGCTCTGCGAGGCGCTTTATCAGACTTCAACACATTTTAACGCGCTTCCCTACACTTGTCTAAATTGCAACACTATTTAAGGTAGCAATGATAAATTCATTTTACGAATGACTGAAGCGGGAAAAAAATGGGGTAAATCGCCGATGAAATGACCGCCCGGAGAGGAACCCACGTTATTAGTGCGAATGATGTGCGGGGGTGAATTGTCAAGTTTTCGTAGGAAGTTTTAAAATTACATATTGAAAACAGAAATATTTATTGATTATATACATCCCAACCTGCGGTACTCTATATTTTGTATATATTGCAAAATAGACGCATGATTAATTTAACAGTCATATTTAAATGCCATTTTGGTACTCAGAGGACAACAATGGAATGCAGGGTCTTTGTCGGTTCCCAGAATAAATTTCAGTATAATTGAAGATTTTATATATATATATATATATATATATATATATATATATATATATACTATATTTTTGTACTTTTTGTTCCTTTCCATAGGGGCAGAAATGGTGACATCCCCTCTTTTTTCTTTCTTAATTTTTAGAACTGGTTCAATATTATTTGTACTGGTATGTTCATTAATAACAGTGGTCTTTACAACGACAAATACTAAAATTAAATTTTCTGTAAAACTTTGAATATTGAGAATGGCCCTTTTTGTATCAAGCCACAGATATTATCCTTACCTGCAGGCAACGAAGACAGCTTGTTCATTCCAAGATCCAGATGACTTAGCTGCTCCAATACGGAGAAGCAGCTTTGCGAGAGTTCTTGAATACCCATTTTTCTCAGTGAGAGACGCTGTAGGTTCTGAAGACCATCAAACACTTTGTTGTTTTGCAACAAAGTTGGCATGTCATTATCTCTCAAGGATAAATCATTGAGATTGACCAAAGGTAGGAAGAACCCCCGAGGCAATGATTGGAGTTTCGTACGATCCATTTTTAAGTTACGAAGATTTGTTAGCCCATTTAATGAGTCCGGTTCTAACATCGACAGAGGATTGTTTGAAATATCAAGTTTTTCAAGTTTGATGAACGAGGAAAACGATTTTGAGGGAATGGATGTAAAGCGATTTCTAGATATGTGGAATACTACTAATTCTTTCAAGCCTTGAACGTGCTCTAACGGGAAAGTGGCGAGATTACAGTCTTCCATGTAGAGGAACTTCAAACTTGTGAGTTGCAAGAATATTTGTTTAGGTAAAGTTGCAAAATTATTTTCTCCAATACCGAGATACTCCAGATTGTTGAGACCTGAAAATACATCGTCGGGTAGCGAGTTTAATTTATTACCGGACATTTTTAGAGTTTTCAGTTTGGGGAACCGGGAAAACTCCCGGGGATTCAACTCTAGCTCGGCGGTTTTCGATATGTCCAACTCCTGCAGCTCGGGGTGATCGCCCAGCTGGCCGGCGCGCAGCCTGAGTTGCCAGTTGCTGGCCAGCGAGAGCGTCTGCAGGCGCGTCAGCGGCGCCAAGAGGGCGTCGGGCAGCGCGGAGAAGCCATTGAAGCCTAAGTTGAGCCGGCGGAGGGCGGGCGTGGCGTCGAAGAGACCGGCCGGCAGGGCGCGGAGGCGCGCTGTTCCCAGGTCGAGGGCGCGCAGGTGGGCGAGGCCGGCGAGCGCGTCCGCCAGCAGAGCGTGCAGGCGGTTGCCGTACAGGCGCAGCTCCTCGAGTGCAGCGCAAGCGCGCAGGCCCGAGAGGTCGCTGACGGCGTTGACGGAGACGTCGAGGCGGCGGAGCGCGCACGGGGAGGGCAGGAAGCGCAGGGAGGTCAGGCGGTTCCTCGGCACCAGCAGCACCTGCGCATGCGCACAAATGGAGGGCGTGGAGACACCGGTCACTTCAAGGTTCCCGCTTGTCGGTAATGTTAGTACCTCGATTTTGATGCAAATATGTCTATTCATAAATGTTAATATCTCGATAGTCTGACTATTCATAAATGTTAATATTTCGATTTCAATTTAATTATGTTTGTTCCAAAATGTTAATATCTTATTTTGAAGAGAGTATGGTTGTCTGAAAAGGTTAAAATCTCGATTATGACGGAAGTAAAGCTATTCTTGAGTGTAAATATCTCGATTTTGATGAAAACATGGCTATTCAAAAATATTAATATCTCTATTTTGATAAAACAATGATTTTTAAAAAATGTTAATATTTCGATTTTGATGAAAGTATGGTTATTTAAAAAAGTTAATAACTCGATTTTGACGAAAGAATGGCTATGCATGAATGTTAATATCTCGATTTTGATGAAAGCATGGCTATTCAAAAATGTTAATATACCGATTTTGATGAAAGAGTAGTCTACCTTGTTACTATAGGTGTCGTGTAGATGTTTATGAAGGACTTGCAGCAATAACAAGATGAAAAACCCTTCGATCAATATAAATATAATACTCGTATCAATAATTATGTTGTTACTGCCCCAACATATAAAATAAACTCTGCATACAAAAACATTGACCCAATAAACTTTTTAAATATCGTTTTTAGCAACCTAAATACATCGAAGAATGTACTTAATTTTTTTTTACATTTGTGTTCTAATCTAAGTCTTAAGAAACGAATGATGGTTGATAATAGTTTACCCCGGATTATTAAAATACGAGTTTCACGCTATAAAGCAGATCTTAGGTTAAGAATAAAATAGTATTTTACAATACCACGTATCTAAGTGAGGTTTTAATTACGAGACTCGCTAAAAAATCTAAGAGATGATTAACTTGCCGAGCGATTAGGCCTTAGAATCCGCGAATATCATGATGTAACATCTTCGTTGTATTCACTACAAATATTGTTTTGCGCGATTTCAAGAGTAGTAATGAATACATAATGTTAGTAATGCTATGTGTGGTTGCCAATCTTCTTTAAACAATGATGATACGGTGATGTAAGCACTTGGACTTACTGGGCCTTCAACCTGTACCTCCTACTCGAGGTTCAAGAATGTGAAATTCCTGAGGCCATTCGACTCCTTATTGGGAGGCACATTCCACCACTTGCTGACGTACTCGTTCCTCTTCGTAGACTTACCCCAACAATGAGAAATTATTGAATGCATTCGGTTCATGTTTGACGCGCTATTTCCTCCACGTAAACTTACATTCAACGATGAGAAATCTCATTGTTGATGCCCTCATTCCAGCTGTTGGACTGACCTTTAAGGATGCGAAGTTCCCGAGCCCGGCTGATTCGTTGCCGATGCTGTTCTCCGAGAGGTCAAGCTCTGTGAGTCGCGCGGCGAGCTGCGCGGAGCTCGGGAACGCAGTGAGTTTGTTTCTTGCCAGGTTGACGCTCACAACGTCCTCGCCCAAGCGCTCTGGGAAGACGGTGAACTCGTTGGAGGAGAGATCGACGGAGGTGACCGGCCCATCGCAGCGGTCGACGGCGTCCAGCGCCGACTTATGGCGGGACGAACAGTCCAAAGTGGCGTTGACGCACGCGCAAGGAACTGACGCTGCACTTGCGGACACGGGGCAGTCGATGGCGAAGGCGAGGGTGAAGATGATTGTGAACGATCTCTAGAAAGAAAACGGGACTCAGAATGAAGGAAGTTGTGTTGCGGATCCCAGATATCCCTCCCTTTTTTCTGAAGACGGTATTTTAATTTGGCTTTAAAATAGAACTGAGACCGCGATTCTCATCAAAAACTCTTTCTCTTACTTAACCCTATCATTTCAAAAATATGGCTCAGATACCCACCATTTATTGTTCGTATTTTTGTATATTTCAATTTTTAAGAAAATCATTGATACGGTTTTGGTTGCATATGAAACAATGTTTCTCACGTTTTGTTAAAATTTAAGTTATTTTAGCATATTTCGTTGTGAGTGAAAATATTCGATATTTTCACTGGAAAACTGAAAATGCAATGTAAATTTCTGGTGATATTTAGAGTTTTAAGTCTTAATATTATTTAGTGTAAAACATTCCTATGTTGTGAACATTCACGTCCATCAGTATTTATTTGACATATAACATACTTTGCCATTAGTATTATATGCAAATATTATTGCGAAAATGTTTTTATAATTATTGCAGAACTTGAAAATGTTACGTTTTTTTCGTATTGTGGGAGCATGTATTAATTTATGATTCAAGGGAGTCCCCTTTCACCCGTGTTGGGAAGTGTAGTTGTTCCCTGTCCAGGGCAAATCCTGCATGAAGTCACCAGGATTTTAATTCTGGTAGCCGCAGCCGAAATGTGAAAAATGGCCGTTTCCGTAGGAGAACAGCTCTTTTTGACTCTTATTATGTTTTTTTAACCTAATTGAAAGGTAATACTTTTTTTCTTATCTTACATTCTAAATGTTATACAGTGGAATCATTGAATATTTGGAATGACATTGAATTTGTTTAATACATTTTTTCTGGTAGATTAGAACACTAAAATGTATGTACAGTAACTGCGTTTTTTATTCTTATAATAATTTGTTGAGAAAAACTCATCAGTAGTTGATTATTCTAATACATCAATATTTGTAATCATTACATAAACAGACTGATTTCAACTTACCATAATTCTTCCACCCATGGACATATTAATGCACACAACAGCTTCGAATTTACATCGAAACTTGTGTAAAATTGTTTCTATTTGACTTGTCACTATAAATTTATCCCGCGAATCGTCTTCAACGTTCCATCAGTTTGTCCACACCTGCTATTAAATACGGTTATTAAATACGACAACCTTCAGCTCTCTCATTAAATTGTATGACTCCGGAAATGTCACCGGATACAGGTTCGTGACGGCTTAAAACCAAGCAAAAAATGAGCGAAGCAAAACTTCCGTCAATGAAGAAAAATCCCAAGTGCAATCATTTGCGGGATACAAAGAGATTTTCTAAATCAAAGTTTGAAAAAAATATAAAGTGCATGTATGTTGTAAAGTAAACGGTGGAAATGCATAGGTTTAGTTTTTAAAATAAACACAAAACATCGTACAACAGCTGGACTTTGCTCAACATCCTTACTCCGCGCTCATAATGGCAGTTCTGTACAGGTAGCGTCATGTTCCCGAGTTTGATTGTTCGAAGGCAGTATACAAAATGCAGTTTCTCCAGCGAATGTTGGGCCTTCATTGGAGCAGGTAATTTCGTAATTGGGTTAGACGGAGCACATTGGAGATCTGAGAGCAAAAGACAGACGTTGAATGCAACCGAGTTTACAAACTTCTCTTTGGAGAATCCAAATTATTGTTTAATTCGAAACCAAAATATCGGACTGCCGGTCCAAATGAGATCTACACCAACACAAATTTGAGTCTCTATTAGGTATCGCAGATACCAACAATCCGTTAAATAAAAAATACTTTTTATTCGCACTTTTTTTTGGAATCGACTCTGATTACTTTTCAGAATTCTCTTGTGAGTTGCACATAATTCGCGTGGACAGTTTTTTCATAGGGTATGTTTTAATTTCACATAGAATTGAACCTGATTCAAAATATCTCATTATCAGAGCCCGGAAGATACGTAATATGACTCGGCAAAATATGTAATAAAAAATATCATAATGTGTAACAGATGTAGAGAACTTGTAAAATACGTAATATTAAATTAGTAGAACATTTGCAAACCAAATAACACAGTTTGCAATTACATTAACAACATTTTATTTAACCTTTATTAAAAATAAATATTTTTTTTGTTATTTAAGGTCGTATTAACTACTAAGTCATTAACGACCACTATTGCGTGTAACGGTATGGTAACTATGAGACTGACACGATGTGATGATGATGGGGCCGGAAAGGACGAACACAGTACAACCATGTCCGAGGTGGACGTCGAACCCGCGATCCTTCGGTCCGAGATCTCTACGGCACATCTCCCTTAGTGATCTCGGCCTTCCGGACAGGCAAAAATAAATATTGTTGGCTTACTGAGTTATCGTTTTTAGGAGAACTTTTTTGACAGCAAAAATAGTCATCATTTAAAAGTGGAATCTGAATGATCGGCGAATATGATCGATTCTACTCCTAAAAGTAATATTCTTAACGCTCAGGCGCATTTATCGCAACATATGTCATGCAAACGGAAGTTAAGTCAAACTGTCAGTGACCATCTAACCGAGACTTCAGGTGGGGTACCTCGTTTCGTCAGCACGAAATACTGAATTTGTGTAAGAAACTAGTGGTGTTAAAGAGCACGTGCTTTTTCACCCGAATTTCACGCAGAATTACGCTAAAAGTACTCAAATTTTCGAAAAATTGTTCATGACTAATTCAAAATCTATCTTTAAGGAACATATTTAATATGGGGTAAAATCTTCAAAATCGTAGTTGTTGGAAATCGTCAAAAAGATTTCAATTTTTGCAGAGAATTAATTAGAAATTGTTATATCTAATATATGTGGGTGTTTATTATGATCTGCGGAGTCATGACTGGGTTCTACTGGTATACTTAACTGAAGTTTGAGGTCTGTAGTTATTTTGCTAAGTTGGTGGTCTGCGGTTTTGGTATATCTGCATCCCCAATTACTATTTGTAGCGTTTAGATCTCAAATCAGAAGAGTTGGGGAGATCATCTGGAAGAGCGAAGAAATATTAGTATCGGGAATTTTTATTTTCGGAGGTTTGTATGCACTTATTAGTGTTAGTAATCTATTACTTATAGGTAATTTAATGGCTGTAGTTTCAAGACCTAGGATGTGGAAAAGATTATTTTGTGTATGGTATGGAGTTTTCTATTATAATTAGTACACCACCTCCGTTTGCATTTGATCTGTCGACTCTGACTGCATCATAGCCTGTTATGAGTTGTCTGCGCGTAATGTGCTTCAGTTAAGCATGCTATTTTGTATTAGCCATATCTTTGTACGTGTGGAACTGTTTCTTGGTTTCAATGAGGTATTTAATGGCTGTACTGAAGTGTACTATTGATTTAAACATTAATTTAATTCTGTTTCCATTATCTGTTGTAATTGGTTTGTGAGTTTGTTTATAATCTCTTTAAATTCCAAGATATTATGGATGATATTTACAAGAATAGGAGAAATTCTTAGATTTTCGTCTTCTTGGGGCGAAGTGACATTGGCAAACTGAAATCTTTTTTCTTGATCTGATAGTTTCCCTAGCTCGTCAAATCTGTTTTCCACTGGCATATTATATTGAGTTGATTCTGAAAGGGTTGGTTTCTTATTGGGGGAAGGTATATTTCTCCTGAGTTATGAGTTCTTTAGCATTTTAATATTTAATAACGACTCACTGTTATTGTTGGGAATGTCTGCTTGGCCGCTAGCTGCGTCTATTGCTGAGCAGACGTTACCAACCTGGAAGTTTCCGGCCCGGTGAGGTGATGCGAGCTGCACCTTGAACATCTCCAAATTGCCCGTTCTGCATATTTGAGACAAACTGTAGGTTTGAACAGCTTCGATGGGCATCGAATACGAGATTATGTTGTTGTTCAATCTCTGGGCTGCTGGTGGTTCTGTCAATTGCACTTTTGCTGCCGTAAGAGTTGCCATGACTCCTGCAATGCTGTGACGTAGTCACAGCTGGCTGAAGGGGGCTCACCGTTAATTGTAACTGATAAGCGACTGTTGGTTTATGCCGCACATGCTTGCTGATTATAATTCACTTTACTACACAACGAGTATTTCATTGTTACTTAGGACTTTCACTAGGTAACTGCACTGACTAGACCGGAGCGAGCGATATCGCCACGGCTGTTCGGCGCTGAATGTTTGTCACTGATACGAACTTCTTTCGATCTATGAAATAAATATTTCTCATTACATTTCACATCACTCAACACGTAATGGGGGTAATGGTGTGGCAGGCATCATATAGAATAATAAATGTAAACTTAAAATCTACCTATAAACGATAGGAACTAGAATGAAGGATTTCAGTTAGAGTGGGCACGTGATAATTTTATGAAAGGACATTTTCATTTTTGTTTATTTATATGTTATCTTTACTAAACATATTGAAACTGTTTAAAAGAGGCTAGTCGAACACATTAAATTTTCCTTTAACATTCGGATATGTTATTAAATCTCAAGTCGAGAGACCTCAGTTTGTGACAATATATTTTTTCCAGTTTAGGCAATTGATGAACTTGATTTTGATAGGTCTATCTTCTGAAGACATGGAAAATCTGTCAACAGAATCGTAAGACATCTTATGTAATGCATAAATTGTTTTCCTCATTATACGTCGTTACGGTGTGTTACGCAAAACGATAAATTGAGGGTCTTATTTCGTAAATGTTGTCGTTAAAATGTATGCTGATAATAATGTATAAGTTTAAAGAAATGATTGTCTTACCTCACAAAAGAAAATAAATAAATTAAATAATTTACTATTTAAAAACACTGAACCAACAGTATAAAAAGAGTGAATGACCTTCTTTTATCCTAATGTTAGCTTTCATAATCTTTAGGGTTTCAAGACTTCATTCTTACGATTACAAAGGCACACAAAAAAGTTGTCAGACTCAAAGACTGACACATGATAGACTTGAACAAAAAAATATTCTAATGCTCAAAGAATGTATCTCAAGTTATGGGAACGTGCTGAATTCGAATTTATAGCCAGAATTGCGGCCACACCCACCAGTTTATTGGTTTATCGCGAAGAAAGTGAATACTATATTAATATATTGTAGCATTATACACTACAGAAGCCAAAAGTTGTCGCACGTTACTTCTCCCGCACCGCTACTCGGCCACATAGAGAAATATCCGGTTTCGGAGAAAATCACAGGTACTTGTTAGGGACTTCTGTTATTCACAGTCGCACAGATGAGTCGATAGACATGCAAACGTTTAAACAACAACCTTTCTTACTATCAGCGGCGCACTAAAACGGATATTTCCGTTAAATTTTGGCTTGTTGCTAAACCTGTTGCACTAGAGCTACGCCAATCACAGGAGTATTTTCGAAACTAATACTTGATGGATCTGTCAAAGAGATGAATATATTAAAGCGGAGAGGCTTTGACATATTCCTGTTAATATTTTTCACAGTTTATGTATTTATACAGTAGCACAGTCGTGTCAAATGCCCTATGACGACATGTTGATCAGCGACTCTAGCGATCCGCGCGGTTAATCAAGGAATATTATACCGCTTACAATTCGTAATGCAGTATCGTGAAGTTAAAGCTAACCAAAACTTAAATTTTCATATATATTTTAATTTTCTTATGCTTATAACTACAACATATGAAGAAGAACAATATTTAAGGAAAGACATGTTTTAAATCTAATGAATGTTGAAAGTGAACAGTGGAATCATAAGGAAGCTCATGTATGCTTGTTTGCGTCAAACGTAAACACATTTGTCCAAATATGCAACACTACCACGAGCACAGCAGAGCGATGTTGGTCCCGATAGCTTCAGCCACTCAGGGCAACCACGCTCCTCCGTCAGCAGTTTGATTCTGTCGCGCTTCTGAAAATGGGGGCAAATGGACAAAATAAGTGAAAGAGGAAAGGTAAAAAGGAGTGAATGATTTTTTTTCTATAATGTAATATTTCAATGGTAACGCATTCAATGATGAGAGGAAGTTTAATCGCGTTCATTCATAAAAATTTGTACATGAAAGTCGCAAAATTTCAAGAGCGAAAAAAAAGACACTAGTATTATAATACTTTTCTTATTTTACATACTTATGTTTTTATAGTTAATATTCATCTTTAATGAAAAAATTGTCATTAAAAATAACAAATGTATTTGATGAGTCTGAAAGAAGCAAATTGCATTTAAGGAGAAAGCAGTTCAAAGTTATGTTGTTGTTTATAGATATTCTTTTTTTTATTACGTGTGATTGTCCATCAATATAAAAATGGTAATTCTTTGGTTGTACATCTCTAGTCGTAAGGCTAGTGTGTGGTATTGCCTCCTACATTCCCTATTAGATTAATAATAGGCACCTTTATTCAACGTAACTTTATTTTGATAACAGGCTCTCGAAGGCTTTACCTTCATCATCTGTCAAGCGAATTCGCGAGACAGAAAAGATAACGAATCTATCTTTACCCCTGGTCACGGGTATTGCTACAATGATGATGATGCAATGTCAACGAAAGCCATCTGTGGAATAAAAGATTAAAATAAAAAATAATGTATATTACTTCGCACGGGAAAATTGCTGCAACTAGTCTGGCACCAAACTTATGGGTTTTAATTTTTGTAATTTTTTCTTCTTTTTTACATCCCACTGATAGTCCACTCACGGAGAAAAGATAATTCCTCTATGGACCAATACTGTGAAGAGAATAGCTTCTCGACTAAGGAATATTTCAAAGCCTTCTATTTTCCCCTTTGGTTTCGCATTTTTTTTACAATTTTTTTTGTCCCTTATTTTTCTTCTTTGCAACCACTACACAACTTAATTTTTTCTTCAAAATTGTTTCTTCTTGTTTTCTAACGCATTGATAGTCCCACCATAGAGGAAAGACACTTTATCTATGGACAAACAAAAGAAATACAAGTTCCAGAGCGAAAGGAGATTTGAAATTCCCGCACAGAATCAGGTTGTTGTTTTTAAAGTTCCCTTTTTTCTTTCTTTTTATTTCTTCATTTTCTTCTTTTATTTATTATTTTTCATTCTTCTTTTATTTATTATTTTTCATTTATTCTTTTTCATTCTTCTTTTATTTCTTTTTCATTCTTCTTTTATTTAGTCCTTTCCATTCTTCTTTTAGTTAGTCTTTTTACTTTATTTCTTTCTTCTTTTTCATTATTCTTTTATTTATTAGTAGAGCTGGGACTTTTAGAGGCTAAATTAACGAAAAATATTTTTATAAGCTTAAAAAATGAAAAGTAGGTGTTAAAACGACGAAAATATTAATTTATTATCAATATGAAAATTAACAACCAAGAACGAAAATAGTCTCCAAGTAAAACGTTACGTCATTCTCTTTACCGCTCTGCATATTTCGTCTGTGCAATCTAAAAAGTTTGGGAACTACTAGGGTACTGACTCTACGTTTTCTCTCTGAGTGTCATTGCCTGAATCGTGTATGGTGTTAGACACGACCCTCTGACATTTTGACAGGTAGTAAGCCAGACTCACTCCACCCAATCGCGGAAGACCCTCACAGTAACACGTGATGTTATGACGGAGAGGGGGACACTCAACCACTGCGTACCACACTGGCTAGACTTTCATCATACACTCCAAAACTCCAAAGTATTAAACTTGAAAATACTTAAAATATTCAATCAAGATTAGGGAAATATGTAATGATATTAGTATAGACGAAAATATTTACTATTATGCAACTTATATATTTATTTTAGGTGATATGTAATTTCGCACATGGAAACTTTGGAGAGCTACTTCAATTTACACTAAACTCTCAAGTTCAAAATAAAGGGGGGAATGTATTTACCTAAGGTCTGTGTCACGCGTTGCTTTGACGTTGCGTCAAGCGTTGCGTTGACGAGTGTCGTAATTTAATTCCGTATCGTACTTAGCTGAACGGTCAAAGCGCACGCATGCCGTTTCGCGTTAGTCACAGAGTTCATCTATGACGTGCATTACTTAATGCGTGTCAACGCGACGCTTGTGTGACACAGGCCTAAAAGTCCGAGCCCTATTTATTATTTTTCCTTCCTTCTTTTATATTATTTTTCTTTCTTCTTTTTTCTTTTATGTCTTTGGAGATTCTAGCAATCTTCTGGTTATGAGCGGAGCGTAATGTTCACTTGTTTTAAGTCAACCCCCTACACTAAGCGGTACCAATCTAACAAGAAGTAAAAGGGCAACAAAGCTCGTAGAGATGGAAATGCATAAAGTAAATGAAATTATTCGTTTCAGAAGTGGCACACAAACCAACTTGTATGTGTAAACTCTAGTTACAGGCTCTACGAAGTGAAAGAAAAGGGTTCACGTCCACGTGAACGACGTTATTTTGTTGAAAACAGACGTATACAGCAATGGCGAGCGCAAAATAAACAAATTAAGAAAATATTTTTTAGTGTGCCAATCACTATGAACAGTCTCTCTTCATGACTTTCCATTGACTTTATGGCCGTTCGAGCAGTTCGAGCAGTGCCTCCTTACGTGGAATGGGCACTGCATTTCAGACGGAACTAGGGTGACCATCCAGCCAACAGCTGTGTGTACGTCGAGGTAATTGCCGATAGCTGCATTATATAGAATCTTGGCATCCTCAGAACGCAAATATGCACAAAAAAATGAAAAAGTATAACCAGAAAAGATAGAAATTGGACACCAACGCAACGTGGAGAAATAGCGAGTAAATTCCACGGTTGGTGTCAGTGGCGGATCCAAAGGGCCCAAAGCCTAGAGATTTTGTTTGTCTCCTTCATTTGGCAAAATTGATTTAAATATTTATGTTAGGATTATGTAATTGTTTAAAAAGTACTGTATAGTGTCATTAATATACTAAAAATAATACACAATATCAAGACCAATATGATTATTATTTAACAAAAATCTACAAACCCCCCACCCACAATGATCGGCTGGATCCGCCCCTGGTCGATATACTACATATTTTAAAGTAGTAAACAACTGAACGCCGCGCTCCGTTCATAACCAGCATCTCGCTAGAGTCCACCCCACGCACTGTTGCGAGTGGCCTCACGGGCGGGCGCGCGCGGGGCGTCGCCAGCCTGCCCTGGCCGCCTGCATCCAGTCGCGGGGCGTGCCGGGGGCGTCGGCGTCGGGGTCGCCGGGGCACGGCAGGTCGACGCACAGCAGCACGGCGGCGTCGCCCCGCGCCAGCGCCCCGCACGCGCAGTCGCCCGCGCGCAGCAGCGTCGCGTTGACGCCCTCGGCGCCGGGGCCGTCCAGCGCCCAGCGCAGTGACGCCGCCTCCGCCAGCGCGTTGGCGCTCAGGTCCAGCGTGCGCGGCACCGCCCGCGCCTCCGCCTCCGCCCCCGACGCGTCCAGCCACGAGCGCAGCACGCCCTCCGCCACCGACGTCACGTTGTTGAACCACAGCGTCACCTGCCGGAACCAGAGCGCACGATTTGTTTTTCTCAGGTAGCAAATGAATTTAACCTTGGGCGTAATGCTGTGCACCCTCGTCGAATTAAATCCAAATTCCCAAATTATGAATTTCGTCCACCATTCATACATGATAAAGTAAAGTCAAATAGTAGGTCTAATACTAAAATATGTAAATATAAAATAAAAACTACATCAAGCAACTTTCAAATTAAACACAAATTCTAACAAACGAAGCAGCGATGTAAAGCTCAAAAAGTCAAGGCCGTTGCCTAATAATGAAAATTCGTTGTGTTTTACGCAACACGTCTCTTGAGCATTGAGCGTCTATACATTGGATTGATTGATTGATTGTTTAGTTATTCAAGACAACTCAACTACTAGCCATTTCCGTAAGTGTAGTGCATGTTTTTGTTCGGGAGGGGGCGGTGATCTTCCCCCGCTGAATGGCGAGATCCAGCGCCTCCCTACCTTCCGCTAGCGGCGTTTTCTCCCACCAGGTATCTCCCACCAGCGGAGCACCGACCCAGCCGGGACAAGCTTTTAGCTTCTGACGGGTCTCCCAGCATGTGTGGTAGTGTAGTGCGTGTTAGTGTAAGTGTATGGAAGAGGAAGGTGAGATCGCGTCCGGTTCGTGGTTCGTTTGTTAGTGTACTGTTCCAGCATTCGTCTGGTATTGATCGGAGAAACTACGGAAAACTACCGACCAGAGCAGCCGACCGCTAGAATTCTCCTCCAGACAGACACTGAATTCGACCTAGGTAACAAGCTGCAATTTTGATGATGGCGGGAATTTTCCTATTCTTATTTTTCAAATTTTCAGGTGGAAATTATCGCAACTGATGCAGTGGCCACTACTACTGTATTTATTCTAAATGTAAATCCTCTGGTAGCCGCCGGATCTGGCCATCGAAGAGAAATATTACCCCGCCCCCCTTCCGCGATAAAAACCATGCACTTACGGGAGTGCTGACCTCAACAGTTGACACGCCCTGAAACACTAGTGAATCAAAGAAAGCGAGCGAACTTCGTAAGGGCGCTCGTGGTACCTGTGAGAGCCGGGGCCACAAGTGCGCGTCGTACTTGAAGAACGTGTTCACGCGGTTCCGCTGCACGTGGAGCGACTCCAGCGCCGGGAGGTCGGCCAGCACGTCGCCCGGCAGCTCCGCCAGCTGGTTGTTGTTCAGCTCCAACGTCGTCAGAGAGAAGAGGCCTAAAACGCAGACGAGTCACTTTGAAGTAATTGCACATGGAAATGTTTTAAACTGAAGCATAGTGAAAAGTACTCAAGTTAACAATACGCTTGGGTTTTTAAAATACTTTAGTTTTGTTGTCTTGATCTGCCAAATCAATATTACTAGTGGTAAAACAATTATTAATCGATACTACAAGAATATGATGGAGGTAGGTTAATAACAAAAATGTCTATGAATTACTTTTACGGGGTTTGCTTTAAATGCGTAATTATAAGAATATTATTAGTTATGTCTGCAACACAGTTTCTTCATCCTAATCTCCGTATCTCTCCTGTAAACTTTTATTTTCGTGCCTATCTATTGGCGTACTACTCTTCTCGTTCCTTTCCGTTGAAATCTCTGATCTTGTGCAAATTGGAAAAATTCAATGTTGTTTCGCGTCTTCACGCAACTATTTATGATTGAAGTCTGTTTTATCATTGAAGTCTGTTCTTAAAGACAAATTTTCTAAATAAATGCATGCACAAATTTTCGAAAACATAAATAGTTTTCACGTAATTGCCCCTAATATAAGCAACTTCTACAGGATTATTTTCCAAAAAGGGATGATTTTTTCCTGATTTTTACTCAAATAGAGCACACTTATCAAAATACTCCTAAAAATTACACTTACATAAGTACATACGTATAAAAATGGCGAAGATCGTATTTTTGGTAAACTCTCTGTTTTTTTGAAAATTGTTAAAATTTTTTCCTTTATGAAACTGCTTTAAAAATTAGTAGAATTAAAAATGAGTAGATTTCTAGAATAAATCCAAATATTTATCAAATATTTCTTAATCGTTTGCATTTCATGTTTAATATAATTTGAAGACTCTTTGTAATAATTATTGCATGTCTACTTCTGTCTCAAAAGAAACGAGTACAGTAGAGATGCAACAAAGTATTATGTACATACACGCAGGGGTTATTTTAAATTGCCAGGAAAATATAAATGTCTTACGCATATGTTTGGCCAAAAATGACTGAAAAAGAACTCTTTCATACTGTGTAAGTACATATCTACCATAAATAGATAAATAATTATTTAAAATATCTCAACTTATATTTGTTCTATTCTCTTCTGTAAATTCATTTTTCTAGTTGATATTGTAGAGAACAATTGTTTCTTAGGTAAATACATTACGGATAAGATTTTGCAAGTAGTTTCTGCTTACTGGAATATGAGTGTCATACCTGAAAACAATCCTTTGGGGAGTTCGGTCAGCTGGTTGAAGGAGAGGTAGAGCCCATCGAGTGATGCCAAGTCCTTGAAGAGGCCAGGTTTCAACGCTTTTAGTTTATTCCGTGTTAGTGATAAGGCTTGGAGGTCTGTGAGTCCTTTAAACAAGCCCTCAGGGATATCAGTTAGCTCATTGTCTGACAACCACAGAGACTGGAGAGTCTTCATGTCCGCGAACACGTCTGGCGGCAAATGAGATAATCGATTGCGGTAGAAACCGAGCGATCGAACAGAATGCAGACCTGCAAATGTGCCTGGTTCTATAGTAGTCATCTCATTGCGAGCTAACAACAGTGTTTTCAAATTATACAGCCCACCAAAAACTCCAACAGGAAGAGACGTCAATTCATTGTCCTGCAGATCGAGATGTTCGAGATTGGAAAGTTTGTAAAATATTCTTTTATTGAGCGTTTTCAACTTGTTGCTACTCAAAACCAGAAGAGTAAGATTAGACAAGCCAGAAAACACACCTTCGGGAAGTTCTTCCAATTTGTTTACTCCTAGATTTAGCACCCGCAATTTTGTCAGCCCCCCAAATGTATCAGAGTTCAAAGAAGACAGCTCGTTGCCAACAATGTCGAGCTCCTCTAGATCAGTCAAAGTAGAAAAAGCTACAGAAGGTAGTGAAGTGAGATTATTATATGATATGTCTAAATTTTTAAGATTTTGTAGGTGAGCTAAGTCATCCCACGGGATATTCGTTAAACCACATTCTCTCATTTTAAGATTTTGAATCTTCGAAAGTTTTGTTAACAACCCCTCAGGTACTGAGTAAAACTCATTGAAACTTATATCTAACTCAATTAAGTCCTTTTGCCGATCAAAAGCATCAGCAGGAAGGGAATGAAACTGATAGTACACCAGCTTCAGCGACTTGAGACGGTCAAGTCCTGCCAGAGCCGCTGTTGGAAACCTAACGTGCCCAATGTTGGACATGTCGAGCGTCTCCAGCATAATAAGTCCCCCTAAGATTTTGGTGGGGACGTAGGAGAACTGGTTGCCCTGCAGGTTGAGCGACTTGAGTCGCAGCAGCGTGGAGAACTCGGTCTGCGGCAGATAGGTGAGGTCGTTGCCGTTGAGGTCCAGGTGCTCCAGGTTGGGCAGGTTCTGGAAGAGCTGCTGGGGCACGGAGCGCATGTGCAGCATGCCCAGGCCCAGGTGGCGGATCTTCCAGAGGCCGGCGAAGGCGTCGCCGGTGAGCGGGCGCAGCTCGTTGCCGCTCACGTCCAGCCACTCCAGCTCCGCGCAGCGCCGCACCGGCTCCAGGCTGCGCACGGAGTTGAAGGACGCGTCCAGCCGGCGCAGCGCGCACGGCGACGGCAGGAAGGCCAGGGACGTCAGGCGGTTCTTGCTCACGTCCAGCACCTGCAGAGTGGATACGCGTGCAAACAAGTGAATCGCTAGGTGCAAAACATATCATGTCCATTTTTTTTAAAACAAATTTTCAGATATGTTGATCACTTGATTGAATGATTGTTTTAGTGATTCCGGGGAGTCAACGAACATGGTCATTAGTCATTAGCCATAAGTGTAGTGCATGTTTTTCCTCGGGACGTGGAGGGGATCATTCTATCGCTGTAGGACAAGATCCGGTGCCAACCTACAGTCAGCTAGCGGTGTTTTCCCTAACCAAGTATCTCCCACCAGCGAGGCACCGTCCCAGTCAGGACAAGCTTTAAGCTCCCGACCGGTTTCCCGGCATGTGTGCTTGTGTAGTGCTTGTTAGTGTAAGTTTGTGTGTAAGGGACAGGAGAAGGAAAAGGTAGAAAAGGTCGCGCGCAGTCCGTGGCCAGTTTTGGAGGGTACTGCTCCTGAATTTGCCCAGTGTTGATCGGAGAACTCACGGAAAACTACCGATCAGAGCAGCCGGCCGCTAAAATTATCCTCCAGACGGCGATTGACTTCGACCTAGCTGACAAGCCAGTGTCGAAAATACTGCCCCCGGCGGATCTCGAACCTAGGACCTCCCGGTCAGGGGGACTGCAGTGACATCAGTTGATGACCATAGCCATCTCTCCCGGTTTGATCGCTTAATACAATACGTACTAGCTTCGTGAGATTTTCACGATGTGGAAAAAACAGTTGTACACCACTCGAACTATTGAACTCCGCATCTAGCAGAATTGCATTTAATCTACACATGAAGATGTGACTGATCCCGGAACGAGACGTCATTGAAACAGTACACGTGACTGTCGTTTTACTTCCCATCACACTTATTACTTCACGATGAAGTTCAACACACTCTCAAAACTAGACAAACAGGCTTCGGTGGCTCAGAACATCAATTGATTTCACTGCCGTGCTTCTGAACGCGAGATCCTAGAGTTCGAGCTCAGGCGGTGGTAGGATTTTCGACACTAGTTAGTTTGAATTCAACCTCTGTGTGGAGAACAATTGTAGGGGCTGGCTGCTCTGACTGTTAAACATCCGGAGCAATTGTTCAAAAATGTTGCATGAACTGTTTAGACAAGTTGAAGGGGGATTACGACCTTTAAATAGTACTCCAGATTTGGATATTAAATAAAAGAACGCTGGTTTTCCGTTGTTTCTCCGACCAACACCAGGCGAATGACACAGCAATACCCTTACGAACGGACCACAGACTGCGCGCGAGCTTTTCTTCCTCTTCTTTGTCCTATCGTCACTCCTTACATACACACATATTCTTACATGCACTACTCTACCACACATTCAGGGAGACCAGGTAGCTGAGAGCTTATCCCGCATGGGGCGGAGTTCCGCTAGAGGGTGATACCTGTTAGGGAAACCATGCACGTCGGCGTGTAGGTTTGCGGCAGATCTAATGCAGTGGGGGAGGATCACCGCTACCCCCGCGATAAAACCATGCACTACACATATTCGCACACTGTGGACGCGGTCGAAATCACTAATCAACCAATCAATCAATAAAAATAAACCAATTTATAGCAACCTAGAAAAAAAGTGTCTCTCTACTCAAAGTAGATGGAATCTGTACAGAAAATAATTTGCATGCTTCAATTTTCCTGCATTAATTACGTAAAGTCTGGTCTGTTCGTTTTCTGTACAGACCACAAATGTTGCAAAAAGAGACCGTGTAAGGCGGGCTTTAGAGTGCTCGCAGCTCGGCTCGGCTCGGCTGTGTTCGGCTGTGTTCGGCTGTGTTCGGCTGTGTTCGGCTGTGTTCGGCTGTGTTCGGCTGTGCTCGGCTGTGCTCGGCTGTGCTCGGCTGTGCTCGGCTGTGCTCGGCTGTGCTCGGCTGCTGCTTGCGCTGGGCCGGCTCGTCTGGCTGCAGGCGCGGCTCGGCTCGGCCTCGGCTTCGCTCGGCGCGGGGCCTCACCTCCAAGGCGAGAGGCGCTCGAGCTTCCTGCGTCAGTCGGCGATGCCATGTCTGCGAACGTCGAGGTAGCGCGTGTGCGCCGCGGCCACGCGGCGGGCGCGGCAGGCGCGTCAGGCGGTTCGAGGTGAGGTCACCTCCACCACGGAGCGGTGCAGGCGGCTGGCCAGCGCCGCAGCGAGCGTTGAACGACAGGTCGATCTTGCGTGAGCGGGCCCGGGGGGCACGTGTCACCCGCCTCCAGGCCGCTGCTTCTGCGCCAGAGTAGTTCCAGCGCACCGGTCCCATGCATTGCACGGCGGCGAGCGAGCGCCGCCCGCTGTCCACGCCAGGGAGCGCCACCAGCGCACCGGGTGAGCGCCACGTACATGTTGACTGCCCGAATAAAAGGCCATCCATAGTGCAATCGTAAAATATAGCATAACGCATAGACATAAACATTAACGTAAGTAGTAACTGAAGTATCACAATGACGAACATTAAAGCTAAGCAAAAATAAGAGTATTCTATAGCTGTGAAGGCATTCTATTTACTATTGTCGGATGTGAATATCGATTTTAGTATCGACTGTGCTTCCGATGGTCGTATGCGTTAGGTTCCTTCTATCGAACTTTGCTTCTTTTTCGATTCTCGATTTTGAGTACACGTACTGGGGATTGGTTCCAGTTCTTATGTCTTACTTAAGCATAAGCACAGAAGTTTGAGCTTGCATTTCTTTTAAGTACCGCGTACGTGTTTATACTTATTCGGACGCATTTGGAATGAGTATCGTTTGATGGACGTGATCCTAACTTCATATGTCAGTGAATAGCTATGTTCGTGTTTGCTTTTGCTGAATGGCGGCTCCAGGGAAAAAACAAACTCAAGAGCGTAAACAATCTACTTATTCATAAGCCGGAAGAGACTTATTACTAAGCTGTCCCTTACCGGCTTATGAATGAGCGGGAAGCGGTTCTGTAGAACAAAAAGGCTAACCCATAGTTTTTGTTGAAATGGGAGTAAAAATGGCCCGTCCTTTAATTCAGATTTTTTCGAAAATTATGTAAAGTCACTGTTATTAACTCATATTCTTTTGCCCACCATTATACTTTAGTACCTTTTTCGTAGCAAAAGTA